ACATTTTGTCCCACAGGGCACTGTAGCTGCATCCAACATTTTGTCCCACAGGGCACTGTAGCTGCATCCAACATTTTGTCCCACAAGGCACTGTAGCTGCATCCAACATTTTGTCCCACAGGGCACTGTAGCTGCATCCAACATTTTGTCCCACAGGGCACTGTAGCTGCATCCAACATTTTGTCCCACAAGGCACTGTAGCTGCATCCAACATTTTGTCCCACAGGGCACTGTAACAGCATCCAACATTTTGTCTCACGGGGCACTGTAGCTGCATCCAACATTTTGTCCCACAGGGCACTGTAGCTGCATCCAACATTTTGTCCCACAGGGCACTGTAACTGCATCCAACATTTTGTCCCACAAGGCACTGTAGCTGCATCCAACATTTTGTCCCACAGGGCACTAAGCTGCATCCAACATTTTGTCCCACAGGGCACTGTAGCTGCATCCAACATTTTGTCCCACAGGGCACTGTGGCAGCTTCTAACATTTTGTCTCACATGGTACTGTCACAACCCTGTGAGTACAGTCAGTGGCGGAATGTACCACACCGTAAGGTGTGCGTGTTGAGGTGACACCCCAGGGTTGACACAAAGGTCAGGGCCGTGACTGGTCAAGTCTGTGCTGTCATTGCAAGGCGAAACCAGCGCTCAGGATAAAGCAAGAAAGAGTGAACTGTGTTGTGGACAAACCCGCAACACGATTACTGCTTTTGGGACTGAGCTGGTGAACGGGGTCAAGAGACACGAGGGAGAGAGAACGGGACATTCGGTGTGCGTCGGTCAGGGAGAGAGGACGTTTAGCAAGACAGTGATAGTATTAAAGTTAGGATATTTCTGTTAGTGACTGGGTAGTTTATGTACAGTGTTCTGTTAGAATAGGATAGTTCTTGTGTAGAGTATTTATGTACATGTTCTGTGAGAGAATGTCTAACCTTGGCACTCTGACCCTGTGCTAGACAGAGGCTGTGACAGTTTGGTTGGTCAGTGTGTCAATAGTTAAGAGCGTATCTCGCCGGGCTGTGGTTTGTACACCAGGAGATTGCTTGTGGACGTACTGGGAGCGAGGCGACTGTAAAGCTCGTTCGGCCAGAGGGTCCAGGCAATAGGTGGCCACACAGCGGGAAGTCAACTGTCTATTGTCTAACCTGTACTTACAATAAAGCTTGTCGTGTGTGCTCTGTGTGCGTTCGGGTTCAGTGTGTGTTAAAGGTTAGTCTGTCTGTCATAGGCCCAGTTACGAGCCACGGACCAGCAAGGTCACCCAGAGGTTTGTGACAGGCACTGAAGCTGCATCCATCATTTTGTCCCACAGGGCACTGTAGCAGCATCCAACATTTTGACCCACAGGGCACTGTGGCAGTTTACAGCCAGTAAATGCAAAGAAGTTACAAAAATGCAATGCTTTGTCAACGACTGTTTCTTAACAACCCAACTTTTGTTACATAAATTCAATGCTGTGTCAATGACAGCGTTATCACAACAGAAATTCAGTGATGTCTGAATGACAGATTCAATGACTAACTTTTGTTACAGAAATTCAGTGCAGAATGACAGCTTCTATGACAATGCAATCTGTGTAATGATAAATGGAGATCTGTGCACAATACTAACCATCCAGATTCTCTCTGTTGGCCGTGGGAGAAGTCTGCTGGCTGAGTGCAGGTTTGCTGGCAGCAGCAGGATGCTCCTGGTCTGGCCGCCTCTCCATGTGACTAATACGCTTTTTCTTATTTGGATTGGATAAACCTTCTGGATCTTCCATTGCCCGCTTCTAGATAAACGAGAGAACAAAGATTGATTTTTTTTTAAAGTGGACATATTCAGCAATTCTCTACACAACTCAAATGTAAGAAGTATGAACACATACAAAGTATACTTACAATATATTGAGAAATATGTGAACGAAAATTTAACCTATCGAATGGTTCTTTTTCACTGGTGAAAAAACATGGAAAGTGTTAAAAACAATTTTATAAAATGGCAGCCTGTGCATACTTCATGAATTATTAATGCAGAACTTGAGGAATTAAGTAAACTAATTTCAGTGAATCAAGATGTGAGAAAAAGAAGATGATGCTGTAGGTAACATAAAAAAGATGCCACTGTTCGTGAAAAAAAGAAGTTGACACTGTGTGTGACTCCAGAAAAAAAAAAGATCCCACTGTATGTAACAAAAGAAGTTGACAATGTGTGTGACTCAAAAAAAAAAAGATCACACTGTATGTAACAAAAGAAAATGACACTGTGTGTGACATGCTTGGGAAAATGCTAATAAAACAACAAGAATTTCCTTGAGTGAATTCGTAAGGCAAATGGAACTGTTAAAGTTGAGTAGATGTCCGGATCTCACAACCAGCCTGGTATTTGTGGGCAGTTTGTTACTTTACTTGACAATTTTACATTCAGTAACATAAAGTGTAGACTCAAACAACAAAAACAAAAATCGGAGGGAAAAAAATTAAAGGGTAAAAATGAATAGTATGGGTACATGAGGCAAGCTGCAGAAGATGACAAAGTTGGCATGGCCTGATGTGAGCTGTCAGAAAGAAGATCTATGCTCCAATGGGACAGCAGAAGAGGAACTGACAAAACATGCACAGCATTCAGAGAAAATGTTGAAGAGTCAAACATACCTGAGAGTTGCTGGGACTCTCTGGGTTGCTGCTGGCTGGAGACACAGCAGGAGATGTTGGGTTGGCCCTAGTCTCCTGTTGGAGATTTCTGCACATGGAGAGTTGAACAACATCATATGGCACATATGTCAAATGATGTCAAACATTAGAGTGCCATAGTATTCACACAGGCACTGTTTATGTGCCCTAGCAGCTCTATGGAGCTGACACATGTGTTTATTACAGAAGTAAGTATCAGCCCTTCTCACAGATCTTGGGGTACAAACGTATAACAGATCCTATGGCATATACAGCATATGTTGGAAGTATTCAACACCGGCTGCTGTTTATCAATTGTGATGTTATCCTTCCAGTTATATGGCTACCTACCTCATGCGTGTCTGTCTTAACGTTTCTCCCAATCTTTTAATGTGGCTAAAATATTCAATGAGTCTTATTTCTTTCAACAGCTAACTGTTCAATCCATCTCTTCAAAACTTCTGTATGTGACTAGTTCTGCTTTTATAAAATAAAACCTATTCTGCATATTTACCTTTCTGGGGACTCAATCCAACATTTTAATTTCTTCTTCATCATCCAGGGTTGTGACCTTCCTAGCAGTTGCCCGATCTACATGAAAATTCTTATGTTTAAAAAAAAATGTTTAAATGTTCATATTTCCCTCATTTTTATCCCTCCTGGCAGTTTGTTGACTATTTCTCATTTATCAATGCTGAAAATGCACCAGGATAGTGCAGAACTTGAATAATATCCAATGTTGTCTTCACTGAAGTCTATTTCTTGAACAGCCGCTACGTATGTCATATATGATGAGCCACTTAATATTTGATCATTCAAATACGTGCAGAGTTGTTTGTGAAGGTAAATAATGACCAGCCAAACATTTTATCATTTAAAATGGTGTTTATACTGTTCTTTTTTTTTTTTTTTTAACCTGACAGTGTCTTGATAGGAAAAGACTTACAGTTAGGATGTTAAACACAAACACAGCCTACCATGCTCAAGTGTGTTTTCAATACAGTTTATGTTGCTAGATAACATTTCCTCTCAGCCACTTTCTTTGCTTACAAAATGCAGAATGAAAGAAGCTCCCGTTTGAATGAAAAGGTTAGGACAACACAATAAACAGAACTTACTTCTTCAGCAGTATCCGGTCCTGTTCCGAGTAGAATGGCCAGTCTTGCCTGACTTCTGCCCAGGCACTCTTGGCCAGTGTGTAGCTGTTGTCTCTGTTGAGTGTGCCCACCTGCTGCAGTATAGTGCCCAGAGAGTTCTTATCCTTATCACGGATACCATCTGAGGAGACAAAGCAAAATGTGTCTGCTAAAAACACCAGGACAAGTTGACACATCGATCTCTCACATACAAACACATCAATCTCTCAAACACAAACACAACAATCTCTAACACACAAACCCATCAATCTCTCACACAAAAACACATCAATCTCTCACACACCACAATCACATCCTGTGAACCCGTGTAGCTAGGTCTCTCTCTCTCCAATGTGCAACCCTTTAAAAATAAACCGCTAGCTACTGGAAGAATGTGTCACACAAAACTCGAATTCCATGGCACCAGCGATGATCCTGTGGATTTCCATAAAAACTACATCTGTGTACTGAACACTGCATTCGTAAAATGACCCCACAACCTCCACAGTGTAAAGCATGTGGTCTGACCACTTCGCCAGGGAGACAATCACATAATCACATCCTGTTATGGATTTAAATAATGACACAGGAATATCACACAATTTACTGCCTGGCAGATTTGGTCGTCTCTCTACAGAACTGAAATCGTCAAATAATGAAGCAAACAAATCAAGGGCTCCCATACGAGGCACAAGCAGGAAAAATCAGACCCGTTGTCTTTCTACAGAATGTGGAAATGAACACAAAATTGCTATGAGGCAAAAATACAAATGCTCAGTCAAATATTCTGGGAATAGTAGCAGACACGACACTTGTAAACATTCGACTGGAAGGAAACATTAAAAGGTGATGAGCAAGAGTTAGGCTGCAATAGAAGTGGGAAGATAAGATATCTATTAACAAGCTGCCAGTTTACTGCCAGATCATGGGACAGAAAATGGAGATCCATTTCAGCCAATCCTCAATGCAGAAAAGGCACTAGATTTTTGTAAAGTTCATTTCCCCCAAACATGTTCCATGCTTAGTCGGCCTGAGATCCTGTCACAAACTTGAGCACATCAAGACAGACTGCGTGTCAGTCACCAAGTCAAGACAAGCAGGAGACCCCAAGGTTTCCCCACATCCCTGGTCTGGAAATGGAAGATAAGTTGGAGAACACAGGTCTGTGAGCTGCTGCTCACCCACAGACACATAAACACACCCCTCACCTTTCTGCAGCCTCAGCAGCAGTTCTGGTTTCTTGTAAGGCTTGAGGGCCAGCAGGTGTATGATCCTATCCCTGGGTACGGACAACAACAATAATTAGAATCTGAATAATCATCTCTTCTGGTGGTGTATGGTTCTTTCCCTGTATACCATCATCTTCATCAGGTGCCTTGCCGACTGACGTAGGCGATCATGCCTCTCCACAATCTGCGATCTCCTGCAGCATGTATCAGTTCGTGTGCCGACACACCTCCATGCCATGCAACAAGACTGTGTCATCAGCATATACATACAACAATAATATCCCCTTTCCATGCCCCATGGCATATTGGGAATTTATAGCTAGACCTACATTTTACTGACCAATCACTCTAGCATACACAAAACTACAACAATAACCCTTTCCCTTGGCACTACAGCACATTGGGTACATGGAAGACCTACATTTTACTGACCAATTACTCTAGCATACACAAAACTACAACAATAACCCTTTCCCTTGGCGCTACAGCACATTGGGTACATGGTAGACCTATATTTTACTGATCAATCACTCTAGCACATACAAAACTACAACAATAACCCTCTCCCTTGGCCCTACAGCACATTGGGTACATGGTAGACCTACATTTTACTAACCAATCACTCTAGCATACACAAAACTACAACAATAACCCTTTCCCTTGGCGCTACGACACACAGGGTTTATAGCTCTGGACTTATATTTTATAGACCAAAACCATGTCGGCAAACATACAACGATGCTAACACAATTTCTCATCTCTCAACAAACCATCAGATCCCAGTAGGAAGTAGGGGTATGATAATATGCCTGGGTAGAAACATTATTTCTGAATAAGTCAAAAAAATGACAAGAGAAAAATTGAAACAAGAGAAATTAAATGTCTACGATAAATCCTAAATGCAGATATGATCATAAATTACATTGGAAAACAAGCTGGGAAGAAACTAGTTCAAACATACATTAAGACTAATACCATCAGATAAACACTACAGTGTTTCTTGGTAAAGGTGATTGGTTTCGAGAAGTGGAAACACCCCATATGCATGGGTAAAGGTGACTGGTTTCAAGAAATGGGAACAATCCATATGCATGGCACAGAAGTAATTTTTGTTCAGTAAGGAAAACAACTCACCTGTACGGCATGTTAATACTGCCAGAGGTCTGTTTTGCAGCAAAGGAAGTTAAAACCCGTGATGTGGTAGTGGTGGACAGTTTTGAAGCTGGTATGTTGGAGCTGGCGGATGGCGAAAGTTTGTTCTGTCCCTGAGATAAAAGTGAACTACTGGAGGAAGACAGACTAGATGGTGACGGAGAGTCTCTGTACGTCTGCACTCTGTTTGCAGCAGCAGCAGCAGCAGCAGGGCTGCCATTGAGAGAAACTACGCTGGGTTTTTTCACAAGCTGGGGATACTTTAGGCTAGCAGCTGGAATAATTTTCTTCACCTTCTTACTTATGTGACGGCCACTTGGCTTGATCTCTTTAGTACTGTAAATAAAACACAATGGGTGTGATAATGTAAATATCATATGAACATGCAAATGACTTACCAACAGTGGCAAGATATTTAGTTTTTATCTAAGTTGCCAGAAACCTTTTGCAATCTCATTTTAATTTGTTTGCAGTTTAATTTACTTTAAAAAAAAGCAAAATGCTTCTATGGTTTTGACCTAAACAGATACTATCATTTGGCTCATCACAGAAAGTGACCCTGACAGAGCTACACAGCACACCTCCAACCAGCTGAGTTCTCAATGTTTGCATGACACAATTCATGTTCAATGATCTCAATCACATGTATAAACAAGCTTATACAAGCTCTATAGCTTATACAACAGGTGTTTTATGAGGAATCAATGCCAGGGCAAAAGATTCAGATGGAACAACAGGTGTTTTATGATGAATCAATGCCAGGACAAAAGATACAGATGGAACAACGGGTGTTTTATGAGGAATCAATGCCAGGACAAAAGATGCAGATGGAACAACAGGTGTTTTATGAGGAATCAATGCCAGGGCAAAAGATGCAGATGGAACAAAGGGTGTTTTATGAGGAATCAATGCCAGGGAAAAAGATGCAGATGGAACAACGGGTGTTTTATGAGGAATCAATGCCAGGGCAAAAGATGCAGATGGAACAACGGGTGTTTTTATGAGGAATCAATGCCAGGGCAAAGATGCAGATGGAACAACGGGTGTTTTATGAGGAATCAATGCCAGGGCAAAAGATGCAGATGGAACAACGGGTGTTTTATGAGGAATCAATGCCAGGGCAAAAGATGCAGATGGAACAACGGGTGTTTTATGAGGAATCAATGCCAGGGCAAAAGATGCAGATGGAACAACGGGTGTTTTATGAGGAATCAATGCCAGGGCAAAAGATGCAGATGGAACAACGGGTGTTTTTATGAGGAATCAATGCCAGGGCAAAAGATGCAGATGGAACAACGGGTGTTTTTATGAGGAATCAATGCCAGGGCAAAAGATGCAGATGGAACAACGGGTGTTTTATGAGGAATCAATGCCAGGGCAAAAGATGCAGATGGAACAACGGGTGTTTTATGAGGAATCAATGCCAGGGCAAAAGATGCAGATGGAACAACGGGTGTTTTATGAGGAATCAATGCCAGGGCAAAAGATGCAGATGGAACAACGGGTGTTTTATGAGGAATCAATGCCAGGGCAAAAGATGCAGATGGAACAACGGGTGTTTTATGAGGAATCAATGCCAGGGCAAAAGATGCAGATGGAACAACGGGTGTTTTATGAGGAATCAATGCCAGGGCAAAAGATGCAGATGGAACAACGGGTGTTTTATGAGGAATCAATGCCAGGGCAAAAGATGCAGATGGAACAACGGGTGTTTTATGAGGAATCAATGCCAGGGCAAAAGATGCAGATGGAGAGGGATATGGATGATTCTCTCCTGCATGTTGGTTGACGGCCCACAGCCTGTCCCTACCCCTCCCACCCATCTTTAGCATAGGATAAGTGCTTCTGAAACAGACATTTTAACTTTATCAATTATTGGCCGTGTGCATGATGTGGATAACAAATGCACATGGTCTGGAAAGATTGTTTCCTAAACCTACACAACATATACGAGTAATGTAATCTTGTTTTCTTCTGTATGTCTCCATGCAGCACACGGTCTGGAAAGACTGTTTCCTCAACCTACACAACACATACTAGTAATGTAATCTTGTTTACTTTTGTATGTCACCATGCAACACACGGTCTGGAAAGATTGTTTCCTCAACCTACACAACACATATGAGTAACCTAATATGTATGTCACCATGCAGCACACGGCTTTTAACCAGTAAGCACAAAATGGTCCTATCCGTTGCCACTGTCTGCAGTTGCCTCCATGTCCTTCACCTTCTTTCTTACACATCACTAATTATCTTTTCCATGTTTTTTCTTTACTCAATTATTTTTTACCTTTCAGGTCCCAGTAAAAGGAAATTGCAGCTATATTATTTCTAAATCTATACAAAATATCTGACATTAAACAAAAAGTGCATCTAGCTGGTCATATCTATCTAAACATAACCCCCCCTCCAACATGACCATATTTTCCAAATGCGCCTACAAACACACTCAACGCACGACCGTATTTTCAGAAAGCACCTACAAACACATCACCAAATTTTCAAAATGCACCTACAAACACACTTAAAGTATGACCGTATTTTCAGAAAGCACCTACAAAAACATCACCATATTTTTAAAATGCAACTACAAACACACCAGAATCATCTAACATTTAAAAAAAAAACACACACACACACAAAACTCAAACATGTTCAGGTCTGATAACCCTCACTCAATAAAGTCACACACATGATTAAACTAAAACACACACAAGTTTAAAACAGATCACCAAGCCAGCAATGACAATTTTATCAGCAACAATTAACCATTAAGAGTCATTAATAGCATATGCACAGATCTGACCATTTTACAAATCTACATCACTGTTAGATATGTAAAAGACATTACCAGACTTTTTTGTTGTCCTCCTCCACCTTGGTCATTTTGGCTTTTGTGCGGTCAAAGACATCCTCCTTGGCAAGCACGGTGATCCTGTTCTGCATGGTGCCCAGACTGAAAAGGCTACTTTCGCCATGCCTGTACAAAACAATCATCGTTTATTATGAGAAATAATGCAATGCTTACTGATAGATGAGGTGCCCAGAAAACACTACCTTGAGATTACAGTAAAATAAAGAGCCAGCAGCCAGCGTATGGAAAGTTTGCAACTAACCAGGTCACCACAAAAGTAGCCTACATCATTGCCACTGCTCAGCCTACATCACTGCAACTGCTCAGCTACATCACTACAACTGCTCAGCCTACATCATTGCCACTGCTCAGCCTACATCACTGCCACTGCTCAGCCTACATCACTGCAACTGCTCAGCCTACATCACTACAACTGCTCAGCCTACATCACTGCCACTGCTCAGCCTACATCACTGCCACTGTTCAGCCTACATCACTGCCACTGCTCAGCCTACATCACTGCAACTGCTCAGCCTACATCACTGCCACTGCTCAGCCTACATCACTGCCACTGCTCAGCCTACATCACTGCCACTGCTCAGCCTACAACTGCTCAGCCTACATCCTACAACTGCTCAGCAACAGTAACAGCACAGCTCAAGTTTATGGTATAAAGATACATCTTAATTAGATGATAGGGATGGTTATTGTCAAACCAGGCTACAGTGAACAGTATAAACATCTATAAGGACCTGAGGCCTTTCTGCTCTTTTCTGCCTATAGTTTCTCTTGTCATGTTGCATTCCTTCATTTCTCTTTTATTTCTCCAGGTCTTCCACATCTCCTTTTCCATCTGTCATTCACTAGAGAGCTGTCCATGCCAAAGCATCATGGGGCATTTTTGCAAACAAACCCAACTGCTCTACATCTTCTTACTCTGATAACATTTGACAGTCATAAACACTGTTTCATATCCCTTGGTTGGGCCAAAGGGCAAAAGCTCATGCGCAGCTGGATCGATAACAACAACCACATATCCCTTGGCTGAAATGTTCTCAGGGTTTTCTTTAGACACCTAGTTTGGAAAGTCTCTAGTTGATGTATAATTCTTGCTGTCATTTTCCAACGATTGCTGTTGTACTACAGTATTCCTCAAAGGCTGCTCCTGTATAATCTGAATTTTCTATTCAAAATAAGTCTCATAGTTACAAGGTGACAAAATTCTCTGCTGGTTTTCTAAACCCTGTGCATATTTGTTTTCTTCCAAATGCTCATACACTTCTTCTCCTTCACTTCCTCTTTTACCGCTGTGGGTGTCGAGGGAGATAAAAGTTTCTGTTTCTAGCTCTTCTGGCCGCCTTGACCATAGGTACATGGTGCTGTTGTAGAGTTTCTCTGATGTTATCCTTCCATCTTGTACTTGGTCTAATGAGGGACCATACATGGAGTGGCCAGAGTTCACCAGGTGATAAATCCTGATGATGACACGCAGCTTATAAATTGGCTTAATAAATGAGAAGTTGTGCATTCTGACCATGAAAGTTTTATCAACGAATGTCCCTATGACAGGGCAACGCTTTAATACACTAAGTAAGTGCTCTGCATGGTTCAAATGTAGCCTTCCTCTTGTGAGCTGTAAACTCCTGCCGAATGTTCGGGCTGTTCATTCACTTCTGGACTTTACCCTCGACCCAGAAATTGGAATTGTGTGGGAACACCTGTTTTACAGATCTGGCTTACTTGTTTGCAGACTCTTAGTTCTTTACCTTTCAGATGGAGTGGCCAGCTTTGTAGAAAACAAACAGGTGTATTCTTTTCCCTAAAGGGAAAACCCGGAACCCACTCTGAAATTTAAATGTGGTAACTGGCACAGTTCTAATGTACCAACAAGCACAGTTCTAATGCACCAACAAGCACAGTTCTAATGCACCAAAAAGCACAGTTCTAATGCACCAACTAGCATAGTTCTAATGCACCAACGAGCGCAGTTCTAATGCACCAACGAGCGCAGTTCTAATGCACCAATTAGCACAGTTCTAATGCACCAACCAGCAGTTTTTATATAAAAATGACTACAGCTATCATTCTTCTTTATCCTATAGTTCATACCATGTGGCGTTGGTAGTCATGTCTATCCAGAACCTTAGTGTACATTCAATCGGTTCTGACATAGATAATCTTTAATGACATCAAGCTGTCAAGAATCTTCTCTATCTGTTCCCCTCTTCCTTTTTCCCTTAACTTTCTTGCTGTCGTGAGGTACCCCAGTTTTCTCCTTCTCATGACACGACCAAAGCATGTAGGTTGTGTCCTGCGACTCTAATGACACTACTAGTAAACTCTAGTGTAGCTGGTAGCACAGCTCAGAAAGTAGTTCCTGGCATGGCTCAAATGTAGGTGCTAGCAATGTAATGTCTTCCCATGAACAAACAACCCGTGACCATGTATGTGGGGTGCTAGCAATGTAATGTCTTCCCATGAACAAACAACCCGTGACCATGTATGTGGGGTGCTAGCAATGTAATGTCTTCCCATGAACAAACAACCTGTGACCATGTATGTGGGGTGCTAGCAATGTAATGTCTTCCCATGAACAAACAACCCGTGACCATGTATGTGGGGTGCTAGCAATGTAATGTCTTCACATTAACAAACAACTTGTAACCATGTATGTGGGGTGCTAGCAATGTAATATCTTCCCATGAATAAACAACCTGTGGCCATGTATGTGGGGTGCTAGCAATGTAATGTCTTCCCATGAATAAACAACCTGTGACCATGTATGTGGGGTGCTAGCAATGTAATGTCTAAACATTAACAAACAACCTGTGACCATGTATGTGGGGTGTGCACTTACTTGGACATCTGCTGTATGCAGTCAAGGCTGGAATTATGATCTACTGGCAATGCTGATAAAGAAATCTGAAAGACTTGTTCTGGTCGATTACCATGGCTTGGGATTTTGATCACCTGTGAAAGAGCAAAGGAAGTATGAGTAATGAACATTCAATGAGTCTGGAATGATTCGTCAATAGAAGTGTTACCTTCATTCTGATTTCTTCCTCATTTGCACAGTGTGTTATGATTTGCAGCTTGACTGTGATATCTGTGCCTTTCAGCCCAGCACATCCAATTTCAGCAAATTCTTAATTATTGCTTTGGTACACATCTCAAAAATCACCACATCATGTCAGGTGCGAGATTCCCCACAGGCTGTCCTATGTTCTAGGAGTTAAATGTTTTGTTATTTTCAATGCTATAAGCATTCTATATTCCACGTTAAGAGACCAAATGAGTGGACCATGGAACATTGCCGATTGTATTGTACTCATGATCTTTCTACGCTGGGGCTCAGTCCTCTGGGTGATCCCAATTTTCAGCAATATGGTCCATTAGTAAACATATCACAGTTGAACAGCCTGTACTAAGGCCTGCCTAAACACAGATATGTATATACATGCACTACAGGTATAGAAATACATAATACATGCTTACTTACTATGCAAACCTACACATGCATTCTAACAATATAAATAATGCCCACAGGCATACATACACACATGCATAAACAGCAAACACACACCTAAAACAAACATGTAAACTCACTCGCATGCCTACCTACAAGCATAAAAACATGCATATGTAATCAAACACACACAGATATATATATACAACCGCATGCAGACATACAAACATGTATACAGACAAGACATAACACACACAAACAGAGGCTTGTATACACATATACACATTAGTAAGCTATTCTATCTGTTCCATCTCTCTAATGAACAATATCTCCACTCACTTATGGACTTTGCTAGAGTACAACGGTTAATCTTATACTGTCAACACAGACTAGAGAATATACACACAGACTAGAGAATGTTCACTATCAATACACAGACTACAGAATATACACTATCAACACAGACTAGAGAATAGACACACACTGTTAAAACACAGACTAGAGAACATACACACACTGTCTCAACAGACTAGAGAACATACACACACTGTCAACAGACTAGAGAACATACACACACTGTCTCAGACTAGAGAATATACACACACTGTCAACGCACAGACAAGAGAACATACGCACCCCTTCACTTCCATGAAACTGTATTGTTGCTCTTGAATTCTGGAGAAAAAGGAAAAAAGAATTAAGTATACAAATATGAAATATTTTTTAACCCAATCCAAAATAAGACATGGATTCTGTGAGAAGATCCAGCCAAACACTGGTAACTGAAAATATACTATATCGCTCATTTGGGAAGATCCAGAGACTAGCAACAACATGCACAGATACTGTATTTTCCCACGTAGGGTGATTCCATGTATAAAGCACCTTGATTTTGGGACTAGAACTTTTAAGAACAGAAAAATCTACTATCACTAAATAAAATGCACTCGTTTTCACACCCTATATTTTGGTAAAATATGTGAGTCTTATACTTGGGGAAATTCAGTCATTCCAAATATGGCTTATGCGTGAGTATATGGCCAGTGTACATGCAGTAAATCCAAATTATTTGATATGGCTTATGTGGGAGTATCTGGAGCACACCCAGAGATTAAAGTTTTACAATGTACTTACAAATGGTATACTTCATCAAACACTGGTTTTCTCCAGGCTATCCACAAACACAGCATGACTGACCCTACAGGCCTTGTCCCTACAATGTCTGATACCAGCGACACACATGGTGGTGATGTGAGGCGCAGCTCGGACTTGGAGAATGCAAGAAATGGATAGCCACTAAGTTTTTCATCATCATCTTATCTTCTCTTCACTTTTTTACTACTAAATAAACCTTTCAAAATGCTAACTATTATCAGAAGCAAAAACTAGCCACAATTAATAACAGTAAACCCACCTATCCACCATACTGACCGTAAAAGTCATTTACAATATATAAGGTTTTTTCAATGCTTGGTAAAGCATTTTCAATATAGAATAAATTAAATCTTGTTAACATGAACTCACTTGAGAAGAATATTCAGTTAACATGAACAAAACTTTGGTCTCAGCAGGGTAGGGATATATTTACTTGAATCTCCAGCCAACATAAACTTTGTTAAAATAACTCTTGATTTTTGGTTCCTTGGAAATTAGTGTCACTTTATTCTATATAGGGTTTTCTTATGTATTTTTTAAAGTTATATATTATATACATAAAAAAAACAAAAAGAATAATGTATTGATTTGGCATTCATAGAAAAAAGCAGAAAGATAGAAGGACACACTGGACAAAAAAAATTTGATAACTATAATTACCATGCCAGGAATTGAACCTGTCACCTCAAAATGGCGTGTGCACCTTGCTATGGAAACAAGTGTACTAAAAACATGACCAACTAAGCACCCCAAAAATGGTGTCTATCGTACAGCCTTAAATCCCCCGTGATGGAATAGAGAAGAATTCATCTCAAACCACTGATGAGATGGCACCATTGGTTACAGAAATGTATATTAACCAAGATGTGTTTTTTAAAGTCGGCAAGTTTTCAACGAAACACCAAAACAGAAACAGCCAGAACACATAATCGGACTCATTAACAGCAAGAATAATTTGTTTTGTACAGAACTTTGCTACTTCTCTCTATCATCAACCAGTGGTGGAAACAAAAAAGCAGACGGCGACAGCTGGAATTAAATAACGTTTACACCTAATCTGGTTCTTGTTAATGTTACTACATATATCAGCCCCACACAAGCTCTTCAATAAAACATCTGGACAGCTTATATGAAAGCTTCTGCAGCAACAGTGCTGTTACTATATAACAGATAGCATAAGACTCTCCCCGTGTGGGTTCTGCGGCCCTATTGTGGGAAAAACAAAACTAGACACTTGCCTACCCAAAAGTTGTAAGGGTCCAATAGTCGGGACCTTAATTTAAAGTTGGACTACATATGCATGAGAGACAAGGAACCAACAGTCTGCACACAGATGAGTAAAATCTGATAAATGGATGTGCACACAAAACTCAGATTCTGGAATACGACCAGAGCCCAGGAGTGGACAAACATCCCTAACTTTCTGCCGGTGAATGCCAAGAATATGTGACAATTTGTCATTCTGATATGCTTCTTCTTAGCGTTAGGCTGTATCTTCTTAGCGTTAGGCTGTATCTTCTTAGCGTTAGGCTGTATCTTCTTAGCGTTAGGCTGTATCTTCTTAGCGTTAGGCTGTATCTTCTTAGCGTTAGGCTGTATCTTCTTAGCGTTAGGCTGTATCTTCTTAGCGTTAGGCTGTATCTTCTTAGCGTTAGGCTGTATCTTCTTAGCGTTAGGCTGTATCTTCTTAGCGTTAGGCTGTATCTTCTTAGCGTTAGGCTGTATCTTCTTAGCGTTAGGCTGTATCTTCTTAGCGTTAGGCTGTATAGACAGTTCTGGATGTTGTCTACTTCTGGATGTTGTGGTCTTGTTTTGCATGTACATTAGTTTTACAGATATGGCTTATTTGTTCTCACCCCCGAGGCAGAAGCCTTCAACTTTGAAGGAAACACCCCCCCCCACCCCCCAGCGCAATCTGCCACCGTTCATGAGATGCTGGTGAGGTGGGTAGTGGGGCTATTCCCTCCATAAAATAATTGGGCCCCAGAAATCACACAGGAGAAAGTTTACTGACAAAACATGGATTTCATTGTATCGCATGTCATCTGTTGGATTATGACCATTTTACTTCTAAAACAATTTGTTGTAACAGTATGGGATAATAATATTTAACTTCTACTGGTCATGGACCAGTCCTACACAAGAAGCGCTAGAATGTAGCACCAGGCCTTCATAAGTAGCACTAGGCCTACATAAAAAGCACTAGAATGTAGCACTAGGCATACACAAGTATCACTAGGCCTACATAAAGAGCACTAGAATGTAGCACTGGGCATTCACAAGTAACACTAGGCATACAAAAGAAGCACTAGAATTTAGTACTAGGCATACACAAGTAACACTAGGCATACAAAAGTAGCACTAGGCCTAATAAGCCACTAATAGCAAGCAGACAGAGTGGGATGATCATGCCCTGAAACAACCACTCAGCTGAGGCTAATCAGTAACCTAATTTTTTGCCCTGAGCACTAACTCACAAGTCGAGGTTCTGCCAAGCTGGTTACCTGGGCCAGGTGAGAAATATGTGACAGTGTACTTTACATCTGTGGCTTGCAGTCATCATAAGGTGAAGGTAATCTTCAAGCAGACTGTATCGTATCACAGATTGTCATGGTTAACACATGTAGCCCACTCGCTTGGTAGTTAGGGAATGTAGCCTCTCAAGGCGGGACCATAAGCCACTGCATCCTTGGTCCACAAAGGAAGCCAAAAATGTAAGGCTTAAACATTTCTCAATTGTCCCAGGAGGCAAATAAGGATAGAATGACTACCTCATCCTTTATAAAACAGCTACAAAATCTTACCAGGAATGAAAAATGCAGTGGTGTGAGACGGCTAAGGGTCTGTCATCCATTAGGAAAGCAAAAGAAAAAATACAGTAAAACTTCATAAACTCAAACTTGATAAGGTCACTAACAACACAAGAAGAGACATGGTTACGAATACCAACAATAAAGAGAAAGTTGGAACAAGACTGTGTCTGAATTATATATACTGAACTAAATGATATGGCGATACAGTGAGAACACAGCCAGACCAAACTGCATTTGAGATTTTTTTACAGCAGAACATCTGGGAGGAAGCTGAGAGGAAAAACAAGAAAGATGTGAATAAATGGCGTATGCACAAACAACTCCACCACCCAAGCCACCAGAGAAGTGGAAGACAAAATACAGAAAAACCACGACACTGAGTTACAACCTGGTATCAGTGAGACGATAAAAGAAGAACATGAACTTGCTAAAGAAGAAATCTCAGTTAACTGTGGTCCCAGCAGGGAAGTACTGTTTGTTAGTCACCAGTTAGTAGTAACTTGTTTATTTTTTTTACACTAACAATTTTTGGTTCCATGGAATTTGTGTTAACTGGGTTTTACTGCAGCAACTCAGCAATGTCTCGTACAACTGTCTGAGTACTTTCATCACTCAGCTAGTTCTATTTACAGACCCAGCACATGCCGTGCCTCTAATAAACAACAAAGGAGCGCAAACAGAATCCTTACATAATAAAAATGAAGACTGTTAGAAACCACTCAAAACAATAAAGATAACTGAGTCCTCCTTTTGAAGCATGCACACCAGAATTGCCCTAAACTATTTTCAACATGAAAAATATGCAATAATATGATAATACAGCAAAAGTTTTTATCTGGGTATGAGAGATAGAGAGAAAAAGATATCTCTGTGTTAAATAAGGTATTGGAAGAAAACTGCTTGTTATTCTTTAACATTACCACTAGCATGCAGTTATTCTTCAATATTGTAATGGTGGAGCCGGCACGGTTTCAGTAACTTTATTGTAATGGTGGGGCTAGCACGGTTTCAGTAGCTTTACTGTAATGGTGGGGCTAGCACAGTTTCAGTAGCTTTACTGTAATGGTGGGACTAGCTAGCACGGTTTCAGTAACTTTACCCTAATGATGAGAAGCTAGCACGGTTTCAGTAACTTTACCGTAATGGTGAGAAGCTAGCACGCGTTTCAGTAGCTTTACTGTAATGGTGGGGCTAGCATGATTTCAGTAACTTTACCGTAATGGTGAGAAGCTAGCACGGTTTCAGTAACTTTACCGTAATGGTGAGAAGCTAGCACGGTTTCAGTTACTTTACTGTAATGGTGGGGCTGGCACGGTTTCAGCTACTTTATTGTAATGGTGGGGCTGGCACGGTTTCAGTAACTTTACTGTAATGGTGGGGCTGGCACGGTTTCAGTAACTTTATTGTAATGGTGGGGCTTGCACGGTTTCAGTAACTTTATTGTAATGGTGGGGCTGGCACGATTTCGGTAACTTTACTGTAATGGTGAGGCTGGAACGGTTTCAGTAACTTTATTGTGATGATGAGTAGGTCACTGGATTTAATACCACTATATTACAGTGATGAGGCTGGTCAACGTATATTACTGTAGTGAGAGAGAGTGCAAAAAGGAGGGGGGAAGGGGGAAGGGTTTGTCCTTGAACAGAAAGAAAAGGGAAGTAATGGTGACATCCCTCTCTTTGGATGTCCGAAAGAGAATACACAAATTTTATGTAGAACCTTTACTGCTGTATGGTAGTGAATCATGGAATGTGAATGCACAAATTAGAAAGAACTTGGAGGCGACAGAGATGTGGTTCCTCAGATAAATGTTAGGAATCCCTTGGACTGCCAGAGTAACTAATGAGGATTGCTTGAAAGAAGCTAATGAAAAAAGATCAATATATACAGCTATACGGAAAAGACCAACACTGTTCTTTGATCATGTGATGACGGGGAGGCTTTGGGAAATATTGTGATGACCGGGAAGGTCAACGATAGAAGAGGCAGAGGCAGACCGAGAGAGTTGATGATGGTTGGATTGCGACTGTGGCACAGAGGGATATCACTGGTTGAACTGATCCAAAGGACAGGAGACTGAAATCCGCGGAGATGCAAGAACATCTAGGTCAGTCGGCAGGGTACGCGATGAGGGTATTACAGTGATTAACCTGGTACTGTTTCCTTGAGTCAACTAGCCAAGGATCCCATAGCAGAAAATACCTCTCAACTGTCAGTCCCAGCACATTATAGAACAAAAGCCACAATAAAAAATTGTGAAATTAGTTCAAACAGAAAAAATATTGACATCCCATATGAGACATGCTGTGTTGAACATTACAATAAGACAGTAAGTAGCCAGATTTCTTTACCATGCTAAAAATAACAAAAGGAAAATTTCTTGAAAACAAATCACATGTTGCTTGGTAATGATCACAAACAATACATAATAACTTATGTGATCAGCATTCTTCACAACATTTTGGTATCTATTTTTATGATTTGTCATGCTCAAAGCTACATGGTCTAGAAATTCCTTCAGTCACAAACTTATGCATAGAAGTTTGGCAGGTGATGCACAAGCCACTATGATTATCTGACTTCCTCTTAGTAGTATGTCATTTAACTATTTTGTGTGTCTCCACATACACACTCAATAAGCCTGGCCATCTCTCAAAGTAATAAATAACCAGTTTTAACAGAAAGTGTATCTACATGTACACTAGCTCTGTACCATCAGACAGTCACTATGTACATTCTAACACTCTGTACTATCAGACAGTCACTATGTACATTCTAACACTCTGTACTATCAGACAGTCACTATGTACATGCTAACACTCTGTACTATCAGATAGTCACTATGTACATTCTAACACTCTGTACTATCAGACAGTCACGATGTACATGCTAACACTCTGTACTATTTTTGATTCAACAACATGATTGGACACTATGAGACCTCACAGAAATCATTCCTTTAATGATGGCAATATGTTTTTATTTTAAAGGAAATGTGGAGTTCTTTATATTTCATTTTGTAACAAAAACAAAAGATGAGGGATAAGATATAATCAACTGATATATTCAAATAATATAAAAAAGAAGAGGAGCTTTCACAACATTTAAATAAGTATAAAGAAAATAAATAGATTAGCAAGCTAGGAATATTAACTTAAATGTCACTTGTGTACATGGAGAAAACCAACAAACATTAATAAACCATAAACATACATCAAGAGGTTCCTACACTGAATATAAAGTATAAGACTAAGGAATCAAACAGAATGGAATAATACTGAGGACTACATAAATGTCAGAGAATCAAGAGGTTGGGGGAGGGAAGTGCTGGACAGGACACATGCTGTCATGTTGAAACAAAAATTCTTCATCTGGAACCTTCTGGATAAAAAAGGACACCTAACAAAAAAAATTTGTGAGAAATTAACTGTTAAAGATAAGGTGAATAAAATGGGGAGAACAGTGACAGTGAAGTTATAGGAGATGATAAAAGTTAAGTAGGGCTATGGTGAGTTTGTTGACGGATATGATCCACTATGATTTATCATTATTAATATATTATGAGAGGGGGTAAAGACAGACAAATTATTATTTACGCTGATACTTGATATGTAATAAGTGGTTCTGTTGTAAATAGTATTTTGTTTTAATTTCAAGATTTTAGAAATATCAGACAAATAAACAACAACACCTTAATTAAGTAACCACCCCCAGACTTTATATTAGTAACAATACAAGTAAGGTCTTCACCAAACAAAATTTAAGTTTGAATAGTTTTAAACTCAAATGTTATCCCATTTTAAAGTTTACAACAGGAAGGAAACTAAACTAATATTATATTACTACATTAAATTTAACATTTTAAAACTCAAACTCTGATTAATACAAAATGAATGTTGAATGTTGACAAACATCAACTCAAACAGCAAACTCTGCAAACACAAAGAAAGTAAGTAGAAAGGTTCTTCTACTAAAAGTTCCAGTAAGTACTAAAGTAAATAAATAAATTTTTAAATCACCTAATGAAGTGTTTATAATATCTGTCGAGGTGGTGTTTATTATCAGTAATGATTTTTGTTTCATCAAACCAGCCATTGATGGGAAAAAGTGCTGCTAACGGCAGATGTTGCAGCGACTGAACTAGATGAGATGATAGAGCAGTCAACATCAACAGTCAATAATTAATTTCTACATCATGCAAATCGCTGACTCGTATATTGATCCCCAACACGAACATAACATTACTTATAGTTAGAGGTTGATGTTCAATATCAACATTTAAGAATGTCCAGAGAAGTAAAAAATATTTTAAACAATCAAACGTTTTCACTTCTAAGCTGAATAAATAAATCGTGCAACGTAGCTGACAGAGAAAGAAACTGCAAGATTAGCATAACTTCTGTTGGGTACCTGCGATGTATAGTAAAATTCACGAAAAATTAAACTTCGAGAGTTCTTACCTTCACTTTGGAGAAATCTTCCAATGTTTTTAAAGCTGTGTCTGTTAACTTAAAGTGAACTATTGTTTTATTTTCTTGAGATAAATCATTTGAAGCGAGACCGTATTCCCGTCCTTCTACCAGTGTAGCCATTTTGGTCTTGCTCTCAGATCCGGGCCACGGCTGCCAGGTATGTGGACACATCGACGGACAAACACAGCTGATCGTCGCCGCTATGGCCGACACCAAATTGAAATCTTTACCTCACAACTGATATTTCTCTGATTATCGTCAGTAAACGTTCTATACAAGTGTAAATTATTTCAAGAAAAAAACACTGATTATATTTCTGCAGAAAAACACTTTCCTGTGAAAAATTAATAAGAATTTTGGTGTTTGTACCAGAGAAAAAAAAACTTTTTACAAAAACAACAAGACTGACGACAAGCTGCGGGTTGTATATAGTTCAGCTGTAGTAAGTAGTTCAGGTGGAACCGAACCCTGATAATCAGATGTATTTCCCTAACAACATTCACTTTGTATGAGAAATGGGAAGTGTTTGTAAAAATTCACCCAGCGAAACTGAAAGCTGTCATTTCCAATAAAGGGCTAGAAATAATCGGGTTGACCAGCTATTTCATGGGCCTGGTTGTTTGACAGTAATATTTAAATTTTACATTAATCTCAAGGGTTTAGATTGATGCTCTAGACACTGTGATTTTGGTCGCAAGCATAACGGAAATTCAAAACTGTTGTGCTGAGCATGATATGTATCGATTCATAAATGATGAATCGGTAACATTTCTTCTGTACCTCACCTCTGGCAATAGGTCTCTCTAATCTAGTTTAACGAAGCTTCATGCAACGACTCCTGCCATAAATCATCGTTGTACACTATTTTTCAAGGCACATTTGTATGTACCTGTTTGGCTATCATAGACCTAAATCTAACTGCATGGGATCTCAGAATATGTGGCTTCTAGAGATGAACTGACTATATACTAGGAAATGTAAACTCATTAACCCAGTCCAAAATTATTGATAAAAGTTATCCAAAATTCGACTTACCTAAAGGGCAATTTCTATTCCTCTTTTTCACGTTCCCCGACTGTAAACTTCGGGTGAAAGGTATGGTTGCTTTTCCAAATCGTGACTCAAGTCTTGTTTCAGAACCTTGAGTGTCGCGTGCACATACGTTTTACAGATTTAGCTTATCTGTAGGCTGTTAATTCCTCGACTCTCATACTGATGCACTCCGACATTAAAGAAATGCCACAGCTAATTCATTCTTACGACACACTATTTAGGGATGCAGTAGGTTTCCCCCCCCCCCCCCCCCCCCCCCCCTCCTTAGGATGTATTTGTGTTGGTTCATTGCCGCTCATGAAAGTGAATTCCGACTTTGAAACAAATGTCGATCCTATCTAGGTTGGCCAGTCTCCAGATGGGAAACCTGCTTCCAGGATGAACCCAGAAAGGTGTGGATAAGTTTTGACCAGTGTGTGACCTGGTCCTGGTTCACCACCACCACCACCGCCACGTGTTATTTGACATCTCCGCGTCAGTTAAAGCCAGCAAACGTAAGGTGTGTTGTTTAG